CTAAAAAGTCGATCACAACCTGTGTGAAGTTGGACATGCCTGGTTTAGATAATATGGGACCCTCAACGTTTCACAACCCTATGGGCCTTCACTGCCTGTGACAGGGATAGCTTTGCTTTTTACTTACCACTCTCAGCATCAGTTATTCTGAGTTAATGTACGACGTAGTGTTAAATAATTGAAATCAAGATACGGATATTAACAAAAGAAAACATAATCACGATCGTTTGGGGTAACTTCGCAGCGTAGCTTCTTTATGTCTGCGGCGCTGTTCAATAATTCAGAGCGCATTCTAAACAAAAATGTCGCTCTAAGCCTTACTAGTCATTTAACTGACCCAATAACGCGTGGTCAGATTTCGTAACGTTTACAACGTGGCATTCCAGCAGATGTTGGCGAATTTCGCACAGCATTCACTGGCTGGGCAAAGGGAACTCTCAATAAATCACGGAGTCTGAAATGTAGGTTAAAGAAAAGACCTGAAAATAAACTAGCCTCAATTCAGGACGTGGCATAACTCAGGCGGCTAGTTGCCGGCTTCCCACCATGACGGCCCGGCTTCGATCCCAGGTTAGATCATGTAGGATTTGAGGTGGATAAAGTGGCACTGGGGCAGGTTTCCTCCGAGTACTTTGGTTTCCCTTGCCAATCTTCATTCCACCAATTGCTTCATACTCATCTACTTGCGGGACTGGTACAGTAGCTCAATTAGTGGCCGAAGTATCAAGTGGACTGTGTCACCCCATCCCACGGAACTTAAAGAAAAAATACTTTTGAGCGCTATCATTCAACATAAATTATTATAAGTAGTCAATTTACAAAGTAATGTTTAAAAACTTTTTGATAAAATATAGAACCATTTATAATAATTTACAACAAATTCACGCACATCTTAGAAAGTGTTAAAGGATATAATATTTATACCTATGACATTGTAATAGTAGTTTCTGTATGTATTAATAATGTCCTTCTGAAGATGGTAGCTCCGACCGAAACATGTAAAGGATGAAAGATTAAAAAACATACAAAATTTATCACTCACGCTGGGGCGCGTTATTAATCTTTTATATTATTTTTTACGATTCTTTAAAATTCCAGTTTCTTAGGCTGACCTAGACATGAAGACCTTCCCTTTCATTTTTAAATCAGGAACAGTTTCAGCTTTTTTTCGAGCCTATTATCCATCATATTTCTTTCTATACTTGTTTCATGTAGGCCTACAGGTAGGATTATGTTCTTTGTCTAAGCTTTCAGTCTCAAAACATATCACGCAAATATGAAAGTCCTACGTTTCCGAAATTTCCATTTCCAAACTGTCTAAATACTGTACTAAGCATTTTCTGCCCTTAAATCCGATTTATCCCTCTCCTATGCACCATATAGTTCCTTCTGGGAAGGAACGTTCCTAAGTTTCCTTGCCACTCCGCTTGTCGTATATATAAATAACCTTCATAACTCATATAAGAATGTAAAAATGTTAAAACTCATCAGTATTCGCTTCTGCATGCATGATATAATTGTTTTCTCGTGAAGACTGAAGCAGTAATATTTAATCCGTTAACCTCCTTTGTCAACAGAACAGAGTCGAATATTCCTTCTCTGAGAATGATGAGCATTTAGATGTTATCTCGGTTATGAAGCGTAAGTCTCATATAATAAACGAGCCACTGGCTCCGAGTTAGAGAGACAGTGGTTTCAGAACTCACGTTAGCGCATAGCTGTAGACCTATTCCAGTGGCCTACATATCACATCACCAAATTTGGAAGTAAATTGTTGCTTACAAGCTGAACCTCACGTAACTAGCAGTAAGCAGAATCACAGCTTGAGACATAACCACCTCCACAAATTGGTCTATAACGTATTTAACAGCAATTTTTTGTTATCATATTACGGCAGAAACAATTTTTTCTCTTCCTCACAACGTCCAGGCCAGTTCTGGTACCCACCCAGCCTCATATGATGAGTATCGGAACGGTTTCCTCGTGGGTAAAGCAGGCTGGGTGTGAAGCCGACTAATCGCCTCCAATCTAGTGCCGAAACCAAGAATTGTGCAGCTATACCTCCATTATCCCATATGTCTTCTTGACATAATGCTTAATTAATAAAGTCCTGGGAAATTTTCCCCATTTTTTTAACTATTCGTATATATTGTGACATGTTGCGCAAAGCCGAGCCCCCACCACACCAGCAGTGACGCGGCGGGTGAGTCAGCGCTCCCCTCCCACCCCTCAGCGGTAACGTAACGCTCGCGTAATAGGCGAGTAATCACCCCGCATCCTGGCAGCTATGCGCGGTGACGTCACGAGCGGAGCCGAAGAGAGCCGAGCGGAGCCGAAGATAGCCGAGCCCCGTAACCGGGTAACTATGCAAGGCGAATCAACAGCGGTGACGTAACAGGATGACGTGGCACTCATTACGCAACAAGCAAGCACTGCAGCTATATAAGTGAGCTGCACAGTGGCTGCGGATCAGTTATAAAGTAACAGTCGCCGAGTCAAGACGTAAAGCCAGCAACTAGTCAGTTGTATTGTGGCATTTTTCAGTGTACTAATTGTGATACTCCAGATAGCAGTAATCGTCAGATTGTAATTTGGGTGATTGTGAGAGCGGATGTGAAATAAAATTCGCTACATCGAATACGTCGAGAATTTATTTGTCGCGATATACGCCCGATACGCGACAATATCGTCTTCTATTGGAACCATGGATTTTATCGAAATGATTATTTCAGTTCATGAATATAAGTGAACGCGGATACATAAGGTAGATTATAAACGCTTTAATAAAACAGAGACACGAAAAAGCCTATTTCCACTCTTCCGATCGGCTTTTTACGTGTATTTCTGAACGAGGAATTTTGTATGTGCTTCGATAAAACCTGTTAATATTCGCGAAAAATTTCTTCTAGATTTTCTTTCTATAGAGAGTTTCCAATTCCCATTATAAAAATAAAAGACATTCGCTTCACAAATACGATTTTACAAACCGGAAAAATACTGGTACCATCTATAGCAGGGCTCTTTGTGTGTGTGTGTTGGGTTTGCAGGTGTCAGGACGAATGATCGGACGGACAAGAAATTGAATTCAAAATAGGGTGGGCTTCTGGTTAATTTTACCGTATTTTTGGCTACTTCAGCTATTGGTAATGGTGGTCATGTGTCAAAGAAAAAAAAAATTAATCCATTGAAGCCTACTCCATTAAACAGAGCCGTAATTGATAAAGTTCATAATAGCTCTGTTACTCATGAAATCCTTAGGCTTTTATAGAACCCAAATGTTCACCACTATTTTCGCAAGAGTCTGCCATTGAAACATAAGTCAATGGAGTCAATTCAAGTCGAACTAAATACTGAGCGAGAGACACTTCTATCTTCACCAAAGCTTTGGTTCTGTCGTCGGCGCCTCGCTTATAATATTATGACGCTACATAGAGCTAAGCATCCCTGGTACCATCACGCGCTTACGCAGTTTTAGTTACGCCTGCGCATGGCGTCCCACAGATCACGGGAAATATAATTTATCTCTTTCCCTCTTTAATTTAATTTGTATACATAATTCCTTCCTCATTTCTACTCTCTCGTCATTTTATTTGCTCTTTCTATAGTCATTCCTCTTACTTTCCTTTTCCTTTCCTCTTTACGTTAAAACAGATTCTTCAACCCTGCTCATGCACTCCTCTATAACTTTATCTCCTTCCTCCTGTCTCTAGGTCTCCTTTTTACTTCTCCTTTGTACTGTCATTCAACTTTCTAATCTCGGCAACGGCAAGATAGTTTGGGAGTTTCCCATATCCTAGCAACGGCTCATTGGGGTTTACCCGCGCGTGAAAGGAACTGGTTGCTATGAACTCACAGTCCTCACAATCCAATTGCTCTCACGATCCTAATGTTATTGCAAACCTAATGCTTTTCCTACGGAGAAAATACTGGAGAAATCGCTTTTTCTCTGACTCGAATCCGCTCACGCACCAGCAAAATTAAGAATTTTACTGAGGCTCTCTCTCCAAGAACAAGAGCTTTTTTCAACCAATTTGTTTCTATGACGTGCAGTTTGAGAGACACGGGGAGGGACAAAGGACCTTAGAAACTGTCGCTGTCAATGCACCTAATAATGTGGTAGGTTTTGCCACAGATGTTCCAGCTAAACGCTCACCAACGATCTCTCCTCTTTCAAAATAGGAGAAGTCTCTCATTTTCCGATTCTTTCACACCGTCTGTCACTCAACATATTCACTAATGCACTTACACGATCACTACAGATAGTAAACAAACAAAATAAGAGCATTCAGTGTTCTTCCAATTTCCATCTATGAATGGCTCTGTCGGTCACGGTAGCCGATCGTGGGTTCGAATCCCACTCAGGGCATGGATGTTTAGTGTTTGTGTGTGCGTGTGTGTGAGTGCGCACGCGTTTTTCCGTGTGTGTAAACATGTAGAGGCCTTGTGATGAGCTGATCACCCGCCCAAGGAGTCCTACCGAATGTCTCAAATCTAGTAAACCGAAGTGAAATGGAGAGCTTCTTGGAGGTAGGCAAAGGCTCAAATTGGGGCTGTAGTGCCAAATGGGGGAAAAAAAGTATGGCTCAACAGTTCTTTTGTTGGATCTTGGCCGTTTTTCCAGTTTCTTAATCCTAAACACTGTCGGTAGGACTCCTTGGACGAAGGATCAACCCGTCTCAAGGCCGCTACCTACACGTAGACAGCACAAGCACAGAATAAACGTAAAAAATCATCCATGGATTGAGTGGGATTCGAACCAAAGATCTTAGCTTTCGAGCGAGTGAAGGCAGTTCATGCGTTAGACCGCGCGGCCACTGTGATCGGCGTTCTTTCAATGTAGCCAACACAAATTTTATTCCTCAGTTTCTCAGTGTTTCCATTATTTTGTTCAACCCCTGTATACAGACTGCATTACGGCAACTTTCTTAATCAACAATTAAAGAAAAGCGAATTACTGAGCTACCTTCTCTCTCATTCCATCAATCACCAATTCAATTTACCTGTAATGTGGAAATTCGATAAATGGTGATGGAGAAGAACATCGAATGGATTGCCTTTGTGTTGCGGCAGTGTGGAGTGCTGAATTAACAAGGGCTGAGTGGTTTGGGTCCATGTTAAGTGGGCCTCCGGTCTTCCGGCAGGGCGCGTCCTTGTGTTGCATTGCAGATGGAGGAGACGGTCTCCAGATACGGAAGGCAGCTGCGAACACATTGAAAAACGGTCAACAAGGGGTGTATTCCAGCTTTAGTTTGGAAAGGGGGCTAAAACTTCCCACCTTAAAGACCAACACGTTACGACAGGTTACATTGGTTATCTGAAACGACCTAAAAAATTGAAAATGAACATGAGATTTGAAAATTGAAATTTGAAGAGTGTGTACAGTGGTAGAACAACTTCGCTAAGAACAGTAACAAGAGAATTAGCGAAATCTAATTCCGACTTACCGGAAGTATAGGAGGTCAGAAAGGACAAGGTTGGTGGCACAGAACCAGCAGATGGTAATACATTCTTCTATGGGAATGATAATGCTAATTATCAGTTTCATATAGTCTTCCCTGTACATGAGGGAATCATAACGGCTTCTGAGGATTTGAAAGTATCCGTGTGAGACGCTTAGGTATAGTTCCGCTCCACACCAGCTGGAATGAGTTCGCGGGAGCACCGACAGAGGCCACTTGACGGCTCTATCACAAGAGCTATTTACAGGGATTAAACGAGAAGGCAATATCTACGGCGACATATATACGTGCGAAAACTCTGCACCGTCGTTTGCATCAAAGGCCGCCGAGACTAAAGCATCTGGATAGAGACTATACTGTGTCCGGAATGACGGCAGATCTGCCATTTTGTCTTATCTCTTTGTCCAAACAAGACTAATAAGCAAGGACATTGTTAACTTTATATTTTAGTTTCTGCTGAAGTAACAACAAAACGCCTTGAAAACTAATGAAACCAAAGGCGTATGGCCAAGTAATGCAACAACTGGATGATGTGCTGCGACGTGTTAATCAATTTGTTGCGTCATATAGACGAATCATCATATAAAATGAAATGTGTGAGTAAACAAATAGAATGACTCGATGTTTTACCGTCTGCTAGAACGGCATATGTTACACCGGGTACAGCTATTTCGGTTGTAAACAGCCTCATACGGAGAAGTAGTGGTCTAAAATTATTTTAATATGGTTGTTATAAATATGAAAGTGATCATACAAAGGACTATGACGAATTTAAATCATGATTTCAATCAATTCTTTACGTATGACATAAATATATTAAGAAGATTCAATAGAATATGAGGAAAGCAGATATTTCAAATCGAAAATTGAGAACAATGGCTTATACAAATACAAGAATCAGAATTTCGGTTAGACTGGTAAGCGTTGGTTAGTCAAATTTCTAAAATCATCAAATGTCAACTTTTCTAAAAACAGATTATGAGTATTTCCGCGTCCATAGAAATTTGTTGCACTGTTTGACTCAAGAATACTTTGTTTGCAGCCAGTACAAGCTTGGGATTCGATTCTCGAATATTCGTTTCAGCAACTTTAAGCATATATTTTTAAACGTTTTATATTTCTCCCATAAAAATGTGTGTTCTGGACGTGACTGGTTGTTTCACCAAGCTATTCAATTGTCATAAATACAAGGTTCCAACATCAAAACATTCATAAACAGAAAAATCATCACGTTAATATTGTGACATGTTGAGCTATGGATGACGGCCCCCCCCCGCCAGCCGTGATGCGCCGAGCGAATCCAAAGGGAGCCGAAGTTAGCCGAGTCCTAGCATCCTGGTCGCTAGGCAACGCGAGTCAACAGCGATGACGTCACCAAGTGTACCGCGGGTTGCTAGGCAGCGCGGGTAACCAGGATTGCGAGAGACGACGGTAGTAACAGCGGTTACTACCGCTAGCGTTATTGGCAACACAGCGCCAGGCAACAAGGGTGCTTATTACGTGGCCGTTTTCTGCATTGTCCGATCGAGGCTACATGAGGAGCAGCGAAGGCTATTCAGAGTGAGTCCTGGAGCTACCGCCGAGTTAATCCTCGAGCTACCTCCGAGTTAGTTCCGAGTTAGCCAGCAACCAGTCAGTTGTATTGTGGCATTTGGAGTGTACTATTTGTGATACTGCAGATAGCAGTAGTTCTAAAACTGTCAATTGTGTGATTATAAGTGCGAATGTGAAATAAAATTCGCTACATCAAATACGGCGTGAAGTTATTTGTCGCGTTATACGCTCAAACACGAGACAATATCTTGTGATAAAATGACACAAAATAACATTCCTATCTTCCTTTTGGCAGAATTTAAAATGCAGGCCTGATTTTCAGAATAAAAAAGCTAGTTGTGTAAGCCTATTAAGATACGTGTATTAACATAACGTACACATACTGTAGAGAGATCTACATATTCTGCATTCTTTGTAATTTTGTCAAAGTCAAAGTCATGTTGCAACTGACGGTCAGTCAGTCTGTCTGCCTTGGTGTCGAGCCCCAGCTGGGGCTCATAACCAGATGTTTTCTTCATTGTGAAAGTAGCTGTCCTGTCCATTTGGGGCGCCCTCACTGACGAGAGGTCGGGTCTGTCATTTGTCAGTCTGTAGCCAGGAACTCTGACCACTAGACCACAGAGGAGGTATAAATACACAAGTAATAAATAAAAATCAGAAACGTAAACCACAGCAGTGAAACAGAATCTCATCCACAACTGTTACAGAAGAAGATTATACACGTACGTTAATCTTACCACCTATCAAATTATATTTAGGCCTTATTTCAGCTCAGCCCAAAATGTAATCCTTATTTAATACTGAGAACCGCATTTGGATAATCCGTCCATATAATCGGCAGAACAAACGTAAGGTTTAATCATTAAGAAAAGACATATTTTTCTGAACAAAATATCTACACGGCGCCACATCCCAGAAGACTGCTTTCTTCATAGTCACTGGCGTGAGAACCTCAAATCTTACGTACGTGTTTTTCTGCTTCTACTATATACCATATAAGTGAATCTTTTCTGGCAGAAAATTCTAGCATGACCAACAGCGTACTTTGCCCCAATAACTAGTCAGAACTGTAGTCTTTAGTTACTCTAAGCACATACGAATCGGTCGAAGAAGTAAATATGGGTAATCACGTGACAACTGGAGGGCTCAGCAACCACACACACACACACACACACACACACATGCATTAAAGATGGGCACTAGGACCGCGCCACAGCTCAAGCGGTTAGTCGCTGGGTTTCCACCGCGGCGGCTCGGTTTCGATCCCGGGTCTGGTCAAGTGGGATTTGTGGTGGACAAAGTGGCGCTGGGGCAGGTTTTCTCCGAGTACTTCGGTTTCCCCTGCCAATCTTCATTCCACCAACTGCTCCACAATCACCCTCACATATCAGCTGGGGCTGGTACAATAGACCAGAAGTGGCCGTAGTACAAGGACTTAGTCCCACCCCACTCGCATAAAAAAAAAAAAAATGGGTACTTCCAACGTAACACGAGTGTACAAAGTTTTCTCCTCATTCTGTACAAGCGTGGTTGTGCATGCACATAACTTACGGCAACTTTATGTTTTGCGTTAGGCATGATTCACCATAAGAGAAGAGAAAGAGAAACATGAGCGAGAGGTAAGATATAATCTGTGAGACAACAATCGCGTGAATACAACAGAGTGCCTTCATCTGTGACAATGATTACCATATGCCCCCTTGGAACATCCGTTTTGCACCGAACAGCCTGGTCTTGAGGTAACTTTCTGAACTTGCATTCGGGAGGTGCTCGGCTGGAATTTCATCCGGGCCACCAGCTATGCTGAGGATTTTTGTGGTTTTCCTCAGTCCTCCAGGAAAATGCCAGGACTGTACTTCGATTAGGTAACAACCGCTTCCTTCGAAATCGTTTTCAATTCATCATTCACGTATCATCATATCATCTCACGCTATGTAGTCTTGACACTGAAATAACAAAACAAAAAACAAACTCCGTGGTTTTACTCCGCAAGCGAACCAAATAGCTTCTTTGAAAACTAGTATTCCGTGAGTTGGACGGAGCCGTTCTGCTACTGAAATGGAATAATGGCAGTCTGCTCTCAATTCTCAGAAAAAGATTAACGGGTAGAATTTACTCAGGTTTGTATTCTTCCCGCAATCTCTGGCATAAAATCCGTCCGGCCTTCAGGTTTCAGCTAATTATATCTGAAACAGTTATTACTGCAACAGGCAGATTTTCTGTAAGTAGGTGTTCCGTATATTCCAATGTAAAGGTAAAAAGGTAAAGTTGTCCCTGTGTTTAACTAATTAAGCACTACGCCATGAAGGCGTATGGGGGGAATGGATGTATAAATCCATATTTTCTTGACCTCGGCACTAGTTGGAGGTGAGTGGTGAGCTTCACGCCCCGGTCGTTTTACCCATTGGATAGGAGGTTGGGTGGACCCCACAGCTGGTCTGGACGACGTGGAGAAGAGAAAATTCTTCTTCCTACCGGGACTTGAACTCCGACCCCTCGGTAGTCCAGCCCGTAGCTGGTCGCTTTACCGACTACGCTACCGCGGCTTCCATATTCTAATGTAATTAAATAATTACTTTAATGGACAGAGCTCCATCTGCTGGCATATAATGTCGTGTGGTCCATTGAAAGTAAACAGATGTTTCGGAGGAACATGTTGCCTCCATCTTGTTTCTCCGTGACGTCAGTTGACTTTCAACAGACTACAGGACAGTATACCCCAGAAGACACAACTCGGCATAACCACCACTGAGGACCTCAAATCGTGCAGATCGGGTTCTACAACGATTTTCCTCCCAGCAGATCAGCTGTTGTCAGTCTGTGCTATCGACCGTAAGTTTATGGTGTTTTATGCATGTGAAACTGGAGATCGCAGTTAGTTACAAACAGCAATCATCTTCTCTCGTGAACACGAAGGTCACTCACGTTTGAGTTTCTATACTAAGAAATTAGTTTGTGATTAAATTATAAGTAGTTACTATAGGATTCTGACGATGGTGTACAACACACTGATATATTGGTTTTTTGGACTTTATCCATCGTCCTGGTTTTTAAGATAACTAATAAAAACACGACGTTTCGGAAACTGGATCTGTTTCCGTCCTCAGGTGAAGGAAAACACCTATTCTGTTGGGTCCGTTAGAAAGAGCTAGCCTCAATCACTGGACCATAGTTTTTATTTTTTGT